GGCCTTCACCCCACTCCACCAGCCTCCTGTCTATGGAGCCTCCTTTCCCGCTGGGTCTGCAGAAGACCTGCCACACTCGACGGTCCCAGGGAAGAGGGTGCAGCTGGAAGGCAGCAGCCCTGGAGCAGCCCGCAGGACACGCACGGCTCGGCCGGCCAGCTTCAGGTGGCTGCCTGCTCTCCATCAAGGGAGCCGTAGCATGGAAACACCACGAGCCTGCACGAGTTTTAGAAATAGCTCATTGGTATTGACCTGCCCTCCCTGTTTCCTCGTATTTTCTAACCTTGGAATCAGTCTTCATTTTCATAAACCTGGAGGAAGCATATGACTAAACAATTCTAGGTGAGATTTCTCACTATTTTGACAGCCCCACATTAAAAGACCAGGATGTATGGGGGACCAGCAGTTAGAGTAATGGCTATGTCGCTGGACTCCCACATACTCAACCGTGGTTCGAGTCCCAGACCTGGTGGCTTAAACTCACGCCGGGCGCGTGTGCGTGCGTGCCCAAGATCCCGAGAGGAGAATGGAGGAGAAGGGATTGCGGCATGGCCATGCCCCCGGGGGGGTGATTTCTCGCTTTCTGTCTCTCTGTCTCTCTCTGTCTGTCTGGCGAGCGCACATGCCCTATAGCAAAACAAAACAAAACAAAACAAAACAAAAACCTCTCCAAAAAACAAAAAGACCAGGATGTCATTGTCATGGCCAGAGGCCAAATCATCATAAATTCACAAGCTGAAAGTCACCCTGATTTGCTGTCTGCTGGCAGAGTCTGGCAGGAGTTTGAGCTGCTCTCTCCCACACGGTCATACCAGATGGCTTACTCTGCCGAGTGCTACCACTGACTGTGTGCAGCAGCGTCCCTACCAGCCAGGCATTCTCCCAGCCAGCATCCATCCGTTGCAGGGCTATGTGGATTTCACTATCAAAGAGAAAGGGAGAGGACAGACTGGAGATCCATCTAATGTCTGAAGCCACCTCATTCCTTCCTTTCAAACCATCTCCAAAGACAACCCAAAGAAGGAAGTTGCCCATTGTGCATCCACTTTCCTTCTCTCATCCCTACACCCCTTGCCTAGCCCCCCCGAACCCCCAACAAAGCTCTGAGTATCCTACCTCAGTCTCTCCTGCCACGGTTCTGGACAATTTTCTTGAGCTCCAGGCCTGGGGAGATGGACAACAGGTGGATTGTTCTTCCTCAACCATGCCAATTATATATGATCTTGTGTTGGTAAAAATAGCAGAAAGGTGAAGAGACTCATCCTTTACTAGAAACACTGAATTACCAGAAAATGAAACTCCGCGTGAACGAGGGTGACTGGAAGGAGATGGACTTTGGCTGGTGCGGAGTGTGGCTTGTTTGCTCCAGGGGCGGAGGTTCTCGGGATCCTCCATGTAATCATGACAGGAACCGAAAGGAGACTCCAGAGCCCCAGTTTCAGGAACCCCGGGATCCAGGAGTCACAGAACCGTGACACCTAGTCACGATGCTGAACACCAACCAAGCCCCTCGCCGTGTCCGACTTCCTCCAGCCAGGCTGGTCTTGGCACTGGTGTTGGAGGAGCGCCGGCAGTGACTGCCATTCAAGGCTTTATTTTTTTCTTTAGGTTTTTGCCATAGAGCACGTATGCTCCCCAGAGAAAGACAGAGAGAGGAAAAGTGAGAAATCACCACTCAGGGAGGACATCCACGCCTCAATCCCTTCTCCTCCATTCTCCCCCTGGGATTTTGACATGCACCCACATGTGCCCAGCATGTTTTTCAAGCCACAGGTCTGAGACTGGAGCTGCGCAGTGGGCCATGCAGGATCCAGCACCTTAACCACCACCCCACCTTTATTTGTAATAAACCCATTTCAAATACACAGTAGATTATGCTAATGAGATGACCCTGGGAGGAACCAACACGTGACTGGAGGAATGGAACTTTCACCCCACCCTGACCTCCAGAGTGGGGAGAAGGACCAGGGAGCTAAGTGAACCAACAGTGGTCAGTAATTTAATCAAGCGTGTCTACATATGTAATCTCTATAAAACACTCAACCAGGAGGAAGTTCAGAAAGCTTCCGGTTGTTAAGCACACCCACAGCTGAGAGGAGAAGAGAGGGTGGCACACTCCAGACCCCGAGGGACAGAAGCTCCTGCCTCAGGCCCGTTCTGGGCCTCACCCTACACACCACTTTATACGGCTATTCATTTGTGTATCTTTATAATAAAGCAATAGTCCTAAAGTGTTTCCTTGAGTTCTGTGGACCAATATAACAAATTATCAAACCTGAGGAAGGAGGGGGCCATAGGAATTCTCAATTTATAGCCACGTCAGCAGCAAGCGTGCAGCCTGGGACCCCAATACTTGCGACTGGCATCTGAAGTGGGGGCAGTGGTTTGGGACTGAGCCCACAACTTGTAGGGCTGAGCTAACTCCAGGCAGTTACTGTCCGAATTTAATTAAAATGTAAGACACCTAGCTGGTGTCAGCGGGTTGGAAAACTGATGTGGGGGAAACTTCTACACAGCACCAGAGTGTTGAGTATTTTCTTTATGTTGATACTGAAAAGTCATTTCCTCCAAAGACACAGTTGCTTGACTTTCCTCTTCAAGGAGACAGGGCCTTTGAGTCTCAGGATCACGGGTCGGGTGGGCACTTCCACATTTCCCGGCTGTTACTTACCCAGACCCACTTAAGAATGCCTGTTTGTGGGATCTCTGGTTGTTCATTCTCCACTTTTCCTTCGCTATCCTCCACAGTCGTCTCCCTTAATTCATTGAGGACTTGGGCTCACATGTGTCCTCGGGCCTGACCACATGTCCTGCCATCGCCCTGAGTGGTTTCAAGGACCTACACACCTGACCAAGTAACACCAAGGCCTTTCACTTCCTTGACGTGCTCACACTCAGTGAGTGACCCTTCGCTATCCTCCACAGTCGTCTCCCTTAATTCATTGAGGACTTGGGCTCACATGTGTCCTCGGGCCTGACCACATGTCCTGCCATCGCCCTGAGTGGTTTCAAGGACCTACACACCTGACCAAGTAACACCAAGGCCTTTCACTTCCTTTCACACTCAATGAGTGACCTTTACTTATGCCGCTCACTCTAATGCTCACTCTCTGAACTTTCACCCCCAAAACCACAAACCCAGGCTCATACTCGTCCTACAGTTCTCTCCAAAGCTATTCTCCATAACCTCTGTTCTTCAACCTCTCATCTTTGACACTCCACATTTCATATTTCAAATCTCACGGGGTAATATGAGGGGAAAATGGTGTAGAAAGGTTAGGTAACCTGCCCTAGGCCTCACAAGGGTAAGCGTAGAGTGGAGATTCAAATCCCACCCCACAAGTTTCATCACTACATAATGTCATCCCTCTCCACACCTTCCCTTGCCCTGAGAAAGGGTTCAGTAAAGAAGAGTGACTGGGCAGACGGACATAGAATCGGGTCCTGGATAGACAGGTGAGCAAGCAGCACTTTGTACAACTTAGAGTATTGATGACACAGTAACTTCTACTAGATTATTTAGGACTTCTTTTGACTTTCCTACTGACATATTGAGAAACTTGAAAGTAAGGATCTATTATATTTAAGTAACACTAGTTTAAGAATTATTGAAATGTGGAAGTCATAAGAGGAAAGATAAATTCAAGCACATTTTAAAATTTGCATGAAAAAATATATACTACAAAAGTAATGTCAAGAGACAAATGACCAAGCCAGCAGGTAGAGTGGTGGTTAAGGTGCTGGACACTCCCACATGGCTGACCACGGTTCGATTCCCAGACCTGGTGGCTTGCTTTCTCACTTTCCTTCTCTCTGTCTATCTTTCTCTGGTCAAATTAAAATAAATGAATGAATAAATAAAATTATATAAATAATTCTTTTAAAAAAAAAAAGAGAGCGAGAGAAAGACAAACGACCAAATAGAAATGGAAAAGGAGGACCAGCAAATGGTGTAACAGTCACATCGCTGGACTCCACGTAGTCAACTGTGGTTTGAGTCTTGGACCCAGCAGCTTAAAACTCCTGCAGCGTGCATGTCCTCAAGATCCCAAGAGGAGGGGGAACCAGCAGTTAGCATAATGGCTATGTCACTGGACTCCCACGTAGTCGACCGTGGTTCGCATCCCGGACCTGGTGGCTTAAAACTCACGCCGGGTACGTGTGCGTGCGTGCCCAAGATCTCGAGAGGAGAATGGAGGAGAAGGGATTGCGGCGTGACCATCCCCCCTGGGGGGTGATTTCTCGCTTTCTGTCTCTATGTCTCTCTCTGTCTGGCAAGCGCACGCGCCCTATAGCAAAAAAAACCTCTCCAAAAAAAAAGATCCCAAGAGGAGACTGGGGAGACGGGGAGTGCATGCGCCCTATAGCAAAAATCTCTCAGAAAAAAAAAATAAAAAGGACAAGGGAAAATATTTACAATCATCATCAAAATCAAAGGGGAAATTTCCCTAATGTGCAGAAAGTGCTTACAAATAAATTATCAACTACTAAGTACTGGACAGAGAGGGACCAGCAGATGGGGTAATGGTTACATCACTGACCTCCCACATAGTCAACCACGGTTCGAGTCCTGGACCCAGCGGCTTAAAACTCCTGCCAGGTGCAAGTGCATGGGTGCCCAAAATCCCGAGAGGAGAATGGAGGAGAAGAGACTACAATATGGCCGTCCCCCAGGGGTCATTTCTCGCTTTCTGTCTCTCTGTCTGTTTTTGTCTCTCCAATGAGCACACACACCCTATAGCAAAAATCTCTAAAAAAGAAAAAAAAAAAAAAAAGAAAGAAAATTGGACAGAGAAAGTGAGCAGACACTTCATTAAAAAAAAAAGAAAAAGAAATACAAAATATCTCTAAAAGATATTAAAAGATGCGTAGTCTAGGGGCCAGCAGGTGGTGTGGTGGTTAAGGTGCTGAATTCCCACCGGGTCGACCATGCTTCAAGTGCCAGACCCAGTGGCTTGAAAGTCACGCTAGGTGCCGGTGTATGTGTGCCCAAAATCTCA